TGCACTGCGTTTATTCATAGTGTTTCAATCTGCTCGTATTGGCCTTGGAAAGACCACCAAGGGTAGTGACACTTAAGAATGCATGAACGTTAATGGGACTCTATTACTAAAATAAAAACTGAGGTATCTGGGACAAATGAATGGGAAAAGGGCTGTAGTAATGGATTACGATAAGTTGGAGGTAATAGCCTGGGAAATAACTTTTCAAATATTAAAGTGGATGCTAAATATAGAGCAAACCATTTTTACCACGTATTTTTATCCATGAGAACCAGAGAACTAGACACTGAGAAAACTTGTTATATCATTGGCGACGCCACTTACGGACAAAAAGCATAATCTTTACTTGCACTATTCGAATTTCCACAAAAATACAATTGATGCAAACCTTGAATATGGAAATGATTCAATCATAGGCCGAAACTAGAATATATTCGTATACTATTCATAGGAAGATAACTGGCTTGCTATTTCAATTTTATTTTACATAAGTTTTTCTCTGTTTTAAACAATCTCACTTGGTTCGTCTTCGGGTATTTTTGGGAGTCCTTCGTGAAAATATAGATTGTAGTGCCGGCATAGGAGATTTTAGATTATTTTGATAAAGGTCGCTCATTATCGCTAATGGCAAAAACTGTAAATCATGTTCTCGTATTTATGTTAAAAGATGAAAGAATTAGCCCAGAGGAAAAAAAAAAAAACCTTGTAGTCTTTCGCACTAGTAAAAACTCTTATTTTGATGAATACAAAAAATGACAAGGACTTTGAGCTTTTTAAAGTCATAGGTCTGTAGCTTTCGAAACTCGCTATCTTGAGGTAATTAGTGCGTGACAGTTTTATTTTCTAATTCCCAGATGGATCTGGAATCTTGGAAAATCCAAAGAATGCCATCGTAGTTGAAGGAGAAGAAGCTGTTCTTAGTTGCGTGGTGGATGGAAATCCTTCACCAAAAGTTACTTGGACGAAGAATGAGGAAAACCTAAATATCACACATCTGCGACTAAGAGCGTCGTCGCAGAACAACAAGCACAGTTTAACAATCACAAATGTTTACCGATCAGATTCGGGACAATATAGATGTGTGGCTTTTAATAATGTTGCCAACTTGACTTCATCTCCAGGGACTTTAACAGTGCAATGTAAGTAGCTTATAAAATTTCCTTTTTTAAAAAACTTTACAATCGGCTTGGATCAGTTTTTTCTTTAAACGTAATTGTGTTGGTATTTGAACCTCTTAGCGTAAAGGAAAACACAAAAGTGTCGCTATTTTTGACGTCACGTTCTCGAACTCTCGTTATGTTGATATTGCTTTTGTAACCTTAGTAATGATTAACAGAGCTTAGCTATTTTTTCAGGGCTGATTCTTTCTTCTTCCTCCTTAAAGAATAAAATCCCCTGAACATTGCGACTTGCGGAAGTCCAAAGCGGTCTCTTTAGATGGAGGAAATACAATGTTGGGCTTGTATGGAAATCAGTATAGGAGACAGACAAGCTTATTATGACTTATTNAAGTCTCCATGCAATAACATCATCGAATAATTTAGTGGAGATTTGAAACTTTGAAGAAATGATGGAGACCTTTCAGAGTAAGATTTTTCTTCTGTTTTCCCTTATACAGTTAAGCCTTCGATCGCTTCTCAACCACAGAGTGTTTCTCCAGAAGAAGGAAGCAATGTCACTTTGCGTTGCAACGCTACTGGAAGCCCTATACTTCATATGTTCTGGACGTTTGATGGATCTGTAATAGAAGAAAATGAGAATTCCAGGATCAGTTTATCCAGTGACTCTCAAGAGTTGACAATAACGAATGTGGAAAGAGAAGACAGTGGAAAGTACAGATGTGCTGTGAAAAACAGGGTTGGAAATGACACTTCTGAACCCTCTGTAGTAAACGTGTTATGTAAGTATAGCATAAATGCTATTTTAAGTTAGGAAATCGTACTGGTCGAGCCAAATCAGATTTCAGAGAAGTGACTTTTTATCCGGGACCAAGAGAGGATAATCTTCTCTTACGGTTACCGGTGAGTTATGGAACAATTTTGAGGCCGAGGAAAATGTCGTGGAACTATAAAAGATAAATAGATTTGCGCGTTCTGAAAAATTTCCGAGTTGCTTGACAATGTTCTAAGTCTAAGGTCTAAACAGTTCTCTGAATTTTATCTGATGGAAAGACAATAACCTAGGGATCTTTTTTTTCACAAATGAGACACAAAACAAAACAAAAAAAACAAACAAACAAAAACACAGAAACAAACCAAATTTATTCATTTTGAGAACTTAAACACATATCTATAAATCCCTACTTGTAAAATAGCGAAGCTAATCGAGGCGGAAGGGAAAAAAACGTTAAAATAAATTCTTCAATATCAAGTTTTGACTGTACAGAGCTGACGAAACGACTGAGAGAGCATGCATATACATGAACAACGAGAAACAGTACGATAAGGTATAGATCAATCGATTAGGAATTATTTATTACTACTGGAATGAAACCACGTCAAAAAACAAAACAAAGCAAACAAAAACAACAACAACAAATGAAACCATAAAGATTATACTTTTCTACATTTATCAATCACTGTATAAAAGTCATCATAAATATCGTCTCGCATACCATTAAAAAGTAAATAAGGCCTTACCAAAAATATGGAACTCGATCTCCTGTTGGAGTGTGATTAATTACATTTGTGGATGAAATCAGATTACGTTGTTTCAGACAGTCTAAGGAGTTACTTATGTTTAACCCACTTCATACGTACAGGATGGCTTCTACTTGTTGCCAAAAAAAAAGTATCCTTGAACGAAGTAAGAGTATCTTTGATCAATCATTTGGCTTCTAGTTCGTTTATAGATTTATTTCTCTATAATTTTTTTTTTTGTCACAGATCAACCTGAAATCGTTACGCACCCTAAGAATAATACACAAGAAGAAGGACTTTCCTTGAACTTATTCTGTAACGCTACTGGAAATCCATCACCAACACTATCGTGGACCAAAAATGGAAATTCTTTGAGTGACAACAAAGGGATAACTTTCTCAGGAAACAACGAGACGCTGTCTATTGCGAATCTTAACAGAACAGACAGCGGAAATTACCGATGTGTTGCCAGCAACAGCCTTAGAAATGATAGTTCAAGTGCAGCAACAGTAGACGTACTTTGTAAGTGTTCACTTATTTCTTTCCTGCTTTACCAAATTCAGAATGCGAAACTCTAGCCATTGTTGTTGTCTGTGAAGGCTTCAGTGTAATCTGGCGGTCCCAGGCTCAAATCCT